AAACTCATGAGGAAGATGAGGTGTAGCTCAGTGGTGTAGCACATGTCTAGCATACATGGGGCCCTGGGTTTGATCACTAGTGTCAAAAACTTAGCCTCCTGAGGTAGCTGGGATTACAGGCGTGTACCACTGCACCTGGCTCAAACATTTTTTTAAAATTTATTTATTTTTTTGGTACCAGAGAAGGAACCTAGGAGTTCTTAACCACTGGGAAGCACCCCCAGCCCTTTTTAAAATTTTTTATTTTGAGTCAGGGTCTCACTAAGTTGCTAAGGCTGACTTAGCAAGAGGTTAATAAAGACTAAGTTTTTAATATATATTTAGACTTGAACCATATTTTACATGGTGGTTCATTTTGAATATTTATGTGATTCATAAAACTTTAGATGAATCTGTGCATGGCTTGTCTTGTTTTTAGACAAGCATGTTTGGGGGCTGTCCTCCTACCTTCTTGGTGCTCTTCTGTTAGGAAGAACAATTTTGTCATCCCATGAATTTTACCTTGGCGTAGTTGACCTTTTAATTAAACCAATAATAATGAATACATCTATTAGGGATAAATAAATCTAGTGATTAAAAAAAAAAGTAGGGCAGGACAAGCAGGGTTTTGGCTCAGGTCATTGAAGTTTAGTAAGCACTAAAAATTTTAGATAATGACTTTAAAAGATTGTGAAACTTTGTGCCCACATCTACAGTCTCAGCAACTCTGGAGGCTGAGGCAGGAGGATTGCACATTCATAGTGAGACCCTGTTTCAAAACAAAGAAGGAAAAGGGGTGAGAATGTAGTTTAGTGGTAGCGTGCCCCTGGTTCACTGCCCAATACTGCAAAAAAAAAAAAAAAAAAAAGAAAGAAAGAAAGAAAAAAAAAGAAAGAAAAAGATTGTGTAACTTTAAAACTTTATTTTTGTTGAGAACTGGAGGAGAGGCCCATCCGCCACACTGTGGCCCAGAGTTCCAAAGGAGAAGCTCGCCCAGCGCCTGGAGATACATGGTGAACCACCCCCACTCTGAGGTTCCTTATTCACCAAAGCATGGCTCCAGCCGAACATCAGAAAATATATAGGCTTGAGGCTGTCACTGCCACGAAACTGGGATATCACCGCTTCTATCAAGAGACAACAATATGGACCTGGTAAGACGTCACCAAGGTCCCTGTGGCCTGGCTGCACCAGAGGTTTCTCTACTAGGGGTGCTCAACACCCCCTTCCCCACTTTTGCAACTTTTTGTGCTATAAAACTGCGCTTCTAGAGAGCTGGAGTATTGTCTTTTAACCAACGGATTTCAGGAGAGACAGTCGCGGCTGGTCTGAACTGTTGGTTGAACTGTTGGTTCGACAGTCCCAACGGTTATCCTGTTGCTGAGGTAACAGGGAGTCTTGCATGGGATTGCCTATCTCTTGTTTCTTCTACTAACAGCCAACAGCCAACTTCTTATGATTACCTTCTCACTTGTCATATAATCTAATACCCTCCATATTCTCCTTCAGTCCCCCTTTCTACTGTTAGAAACTGTAAACCATTATGCAAACCTATTGACTATAAGGTAGAAGATAACTGAACTCATCACTTCTGATTATAGTGACAAAACTTAAAATGTAAAAATAGAAGCTGACTGATATATGGCTGCAGGTTGGGTACATTGAGTGCTGTAATATTGATCCCTCCCTTAAAAGTGAGATATTGGTAACCTACAGGGACACTATAAGACAGTAGGGCAGAAGCTGTAATACCTGGGACCTACACTGCAAGAGAGGAAGACTCATAGACATCATGAAAAAACAAGGGAGGAAAGTGCCTCAAGCAAACCAAGATACCACAACAATAGAATCCACAGATCGCGCAGTAGGTGAAATGTCAGAGAAGGAGTTCAGAATATGCATAACTGAAATGATTTGGGAATTAAAGAACAACCTAAGTGAGCAGATACAGGCAAAAATCGATCACTCCAACAAAGAGATAAGAGAGCAAATACAGGTGACCATTGATCACACCATCAAAGAGATAAGAGAGACAATATAGGATGCAAGAGACAGAGATACTGAAAGAGATAGAGATACTGGAAAAAAAAAAACCAAGCAGAAATCCTTGAAATGAAAGAAACAATAAGCCAATTAAAAAAGTCAATAGATGGGCTGGGAATGTGGCTCTAGTGGTAGCGCGCTTGCCTGGCATGCGTGCGGCCTGGGTTCGATCCTCAGCACCACATACAAACAAAGATGTTGTGTCCGCCGAAAACTGAAAAATAAATATTTAAAAAAAAGTCAATAGATAACATCACCAATAGATTTGATCACTTGGAAGACAGAACCTCAGATAATGAAGACAAAGTATACAATATTGAAAATAAAGTTGACCTCACAGTGAAGATAGTAAGAAACCATGAACAGAATATCCAAGAATTATGGGATATCATCAAAAGACCAAATTTAAGATTTATTGGGATAGGAAGGTTCAGAAATTCAAATCAAAGGAATACACAATCTCTTCAACGAAATAATAGCAGAAAATTTCCAAAGTATAAAGAATGAACTGGAAAATCAAATACAAGAGGCCTATAGGACACCAAATGTACAAAATTACAACAGATCTACATCAAGACACATTGTAATGAAAGTGTCTAGCATACAGAATAGGATAGAATTATAAAGGCAGCAAGAGAGAAAAATCAGATCACCTATAAGGGAAGACCAATTCAGATCTCAGCAGATTTTTCAACCCAGACTCTCAAATCGAGAAGATCCTGGAACAACATATACCAAGCTGTAAAAGATAGTGGATGCCAACCAAGAATCTTTTATCCATCAAAATTAAGCTTCAAATTTTATGATGAAATAAAAACTTTCCATGATAAACAAAAGCTAAAAGAATTTACAGCAAGAAAGCCTGCACTTTAGAACATTCTTGGCATAATATTCCACGAGGAGGAAATGAAAAACAACAATGAAAATCTGCAAAGGGAAGAACTACAATAAAGGAAAAGCCAACCAGAGGAGAAACCAAGTCAAGCTAAATACTAAAAATAAACAAAAATGAGCAGTAATGGGGCTGGGGTTATAGCTCGGTGGTAGAGCGCTTGCCTCGCACTTGTGAGGTACTAGGTTCAATCCTCAGCACCACATAAAAATAAATAAAATAAATAAAGATATTTTAAAAAATGACCAGTAATACAATTCATGTCTCTTTCAACCCTTTTTGATAAACTTTTACACATAAAATTTTTAACTATAATATCATCTAATTTTTCAGGTTTTGTATTTTTTTTTTGTTTTCCATTTCTTTTCACAAAGTTATGCAAATATTTTCTTTAAAAGTTTTACCATTTTATACATTATATTTTAATATATAATTAATCTGGTATGTATATATACATTGCCTGTGATATGAGATGAGGTATATTTTATTCTTTTTTAAAAAAAATGTTTATTTTTTTAGTTGTAGTTGGACACAGTATCTTTATTTTATTTATTTTTATGTGGTGCTGAGGATTGAACCCAGGGTCTCGAATGTGCTAGGTGAGTACTCTACTGCTGAGCCATAATCCCAGCCCCATATTTTACTCTTATAATTAAAAATCCATTGTTCAAGATTCAAGGATGAAAAAGATCCATCAGAGTAAAAATTGTTTAAGGTATTTATAAAAGTAAGGGCAAGGTTGAGGGAAACTAACAAATTTTGTGAAGCACCTTTCCTACCGTAGACTTGAAGAGGTAGGAGGTAAAAGAAGAGAGAGCCATTATGAAAAACTTGTAGGAGAAGGTGACCTAACTGAAGTTATTCCCACCAAAAGCACGTAGAAAACAACTCACAGTTTATTAGATTCTTATAGGGAGGAATAAAACACCTCCCTCTACTCTTGTATATTCTAAGTTCATCTCTTTAGTGTCCCTTTCTGATGGAATTCAACCAGAAACCACATAACATATGGTTATGCTACCATACATGTCTCATCAAAAGGTGAAAGATGGAGAAAGGAGCCAATATGGCAGCCATTGGTTACATGAGAGACTACTGAGTATTTGAAATGTGTCTAGTCTGAATGGAGGTGTGCTATGTGTTAAATAGACATTAGATGCCAAAGAATTACTAGGACAAAGAAAATGAACATTAAATATCTTACTAACAATTATTTTTTTTTTGCAAATTATGTTGGTAATCCATTGGGTTAAATAAAAATACATTAAAATTAATTTATCCATTTGTTTTAAAAAAAGAAGTAAAGAAGAACAAGGTTATACATTCTGTAACTTCACTGTAGTACTATATATCCATATTTATATGTTGTCATTTTTTAATATTTGTGTTATCAAAATTCATATAACTATAAAACTAAATAGGGCAAATTGTACCATATATAAATTATATCTCAGCAAATATGACTTTAAAAAGAAATCTAGTTCATGAAGTGTTTTAATAGTATTGAGCACATACTAACCACCTGATAAATAATGGTTATTATTATGCTTCATTAAAACAACCAGCATTAAACTGTTTCATAGTGGGGTAGGGAGGGGGAGCATGGGAGGAATAGTTGAATTCTAGATAGGGCAGAGAGGTGGGAAGGGAAGGGAGGGGGCAGGGGGTACAAATGATGGTAGAATGTGATGGTCATCATTATCCAAAGTACGTGTATGAAGACATGAATGTGTGAATATACTGAGTATACAACCAGAGATGAAAAATTGTGCTCTATATATGTAATACGAATTGTAATACATACCATTGTCATATATAACAAATCAGAATAAAAAAATAAAGAAAAAACCCCTTTTTTAAAATTTGCAGATTGCTAGCATATATACCCTTTCAGCAGCAGAGAAATGACGGTGTTCTGTCTTATTTAGTAGGTAACAGTTAAAGGAGGAAGTTACTAGATAGTTTACATTGTCCATCCATCGTCATGGTGGACCCTATCATGTATTATAATGTTGAGGGATTTTCATTCCTATGTTCCCAGGGTCAGCTGAGACCCTTCAATAAAGGACATTCCGGCTAGAGTTACCTTGATGATTTCTTCCTGAAGCAAGCTATTATGCTGCTTTAAATCCAAGTTCTTTTCTCGCTCATATCGAAGCTCTTTTTCAGCAGAGTTGAAAAGAATTTGGAGGCGATGCAAATTCTTGCGAAGTTGTTGTACTTCCTCTAGCGGCTCGCATTTTATTTTTTCTCCAGATGACAGATACTAAAGTAAACATTTAGAAAGAGAGTCAGGTCTGAAAGAATGTTGGTAAAACACCAGTTCAAGCTTTTAGATCAAAATTGTTAGAATATCATTAATATGTAAATGGTTTTGGAGTCAGTTTACCTACAATGAATTGCTCTTTTACAGTTATGGCTACTTGGTAGTGTTTATGTGATTTCATAACTGTTCAGTAGAGAGAAAATATCAGACGAATTATGGGAATAAAAATTGTGGGGCTGGGGATGTGGCTCAAGCGGTAGTGCGCTCGCCTGGCATGCGTGTGGCCCGGGTTCGATCCTTAGCACCACATACAAAAACAAAGATGTTGTGTCCGCCGAAAACTAAAAAATAAATATTAAAATTCTCTCTCTCTCTTTCTCCCTCTCCCTCTTTCACTCTCTCTTTAAAAAAAAAAATTGTTAGGCATACACAATTAACCTCATTTTTTTTGTGTCAGTGAAGGGAAAAGAGAAGCATGGGTGATTTTGGAGCAAAACACCCCCTTTAAATGAAGAGCTCAGAATTAATTTGGGGGGGGGATGAGGTTTGAACCCAGGGGTGGTTAGTCACTAAGTCACATCCCTAGCCTTTTTATTTTTTATTTTTTATTTTTTTTGAGACAGGGTCTTGCTAAATAGCTCAGGGCCGTCCTAAATTACTGAAGCTGGTTTTGAACTTGTGATCCTCCTGCCACAGCCTCCTGAGCTGCTGGAATTACAGGCATGCACCACCACATCTGACTCAGAGTTAATATGTGAAGTAGAGTGTGAGCATATATGTGCATGGGAGTGAGTACACATGGGTCTGGCAAGAAGAAAGAAAATTTAGCCAAAGGCCTTCTGCTTCTAGCTTTCTTCATCTCTTCATTTTTGCTACCTGATGATTCTTCTCCAGTTTCTACTCAACAGCAAGGCACTCTTTGGAAGTTGAGGAGTATCTACAGTACATAGCACTTACATCTTATTATCTTCATCCTTTCACCTGTTGATGGACACTTAGTTGATTCTATAACATGGCTATCATGAATAACGCTACAATAAAATGGGAGTGCAGATGTCTCCTTAACATACTAATTTCAAGTCTCTTGGATAATATGCTCAGAAGTGGAACTGTTGGATCATATGATAAACTTTTAATTTTTTGAGGAACCTTTATAGTTCCCCCTTCTCCATACCTTTGCCAACAAATATTCTGTTTTTTTTTTTTTAATAATAGTTTCTTTTTTTGTGTGGGGGTGGGTACTGGAGATTTAACCCAGCGGTGCTTTACCAGTGAGCCACATCCCCAGCCCTTTTGTGTTTTATTTTGAGACAGGGTCTCACTTAAGTTGTTTAAGACCTTGCTAAGTTGTTGAGGCTGGCTTTTTTTTTTTTTTTTAAATCAGGTTTGTTTTAACCTTCATTTCAAACTAAATAAACATTCATGGCAAGTTTGGGTTTCTGAATGAATTTATTTCCTTATTTTAACCATTCAAAAGTTTAAAACAAATGCTGGCTATGAATTTGTTAAATGAAACACTAAAGTATACTAGTGGGAGTTTTGTTATATTTGAGACATACAGAAGTGGCTTGATGATTGGCATAATGTTTTGATTTGTATCTGAAATGTCTTCCAAAGGCCATCTGCTTGGTCACCAGCCTGTGGCACTATTGGGAAGTGGGAAACCTTTATGGGGTGGGAACTAGTTGGAGGAAGTCATTGTGGGCTTGCTGCTGCAGAAGAGTATCTTGGGACCCTGACCCTTCCCCCCCTCTCGCTTTCTCTGGTCACCATAAGCTGAGCAGCTTTGCTCCACCATATGCTCCCTGGCATGCTCTGAGGCTGGCTTTGAACTTGCGATCCTCCTGTCTCAGCCCCCCAAGCCGCTGGGATTATAAGCATGTGCCCAGCGCCCAGCTACTTGTTGGCCTTTTTTATGCTTTCCTTTTGACAAATTGTCTATTTAGATCCTTTGTCCATTTTAAAATTGGATTGTTTCTTTTCTTGCTATTGAGTTGAGTTCCTTATTTTGGATATTAACCCTTTATTAGCTGTGTGGCTTGAAAATATTTTCTTTCAATCCCTAGATTATATCTACACTGTGTTGATTGTTTGTTTCCATTGCTATATAGAATTTTTAGTCTGATGTAATCTTATTTGTCAAGTTTTGCTTTTCTTGCCTGTGCTTTTGGGGTCATAGCCAGAAACTCTTTGCCAAGACCTCCGTGTCAAACTTTTCCCCTAAGTGTCCACCAGTTGACAAATGTGGTATATATAAACAAATGACATGGAGAGCTATTTACCTTTAAAACAGAAGGAAATCCTTACACTTGCCACAACAAGGATGAACTTGGAGGATATTATGCTAAGTAAAGGGAGCCGGCACAAAAAGAGAAATATTACATGATCTCACTTATATGTGGAATCTAAAAAAAAAAAAAGTTGAACCCACAGAAGCAGAGAGAACAGTGCTTGATAGAGGCTGGGAGCGGTGGTTGATGTGGATGGGTGGACCATCACACTCTGGTTACAAACACCAACCATCTCATTAAGTCCAGTGATTCTGACTTCCTGCTCATCAAGATCACTCAGATTCAGAACTATCTTTCTTAGTTTTCTACAGGAAGAAAATACATCTAAACATATTTTAAATCAATTATGGAAAAATAATTGGTATCCTGATTTGATACAGTATCCTTTAAAGTTTAATTTGAGTCCATCCTTCAGACATGGATCTGTGTCCTAGGTGGGCTAAAATATCATGATTCACCAAGATAATCAGTTACCCTAGTAGTCAGCTGGCTAGCCTTTTGTGGGAAATAAGTTTGAACTGTGCACCTTGGACTTTTCTGCAGGTGGAAGCAAATGATGTAGCAGTTAAAAAAATCAAGCTCTGGAGGAGGCAGACCTGGGTTCCCCAGCCCCCTAATAGGCACATTATTTGCACTCTCTAAAGCCTCAGTTTTCTTATTTATGTGGTTGCAGCAGTAATATTCTTGTCCCGTTATATTGCTTAATTTACACAGGGCATAGTGCCTAGAGCATAGTAAATACTCAAAGTGTTAGGGAAAAGGTTAAGCTAGATTTTAAGCCTGTACAATTAAGGTAATAAATTCTGCTTCCAACTTGTCTCAAGAATATTGGGAAAGTAATACCTAGAATTTGGTTACGTGGTGACCCCATCTGCAGTGGATTTAAACAGCAGAAACGAAGCCCCCAAAGACCATCAACAGCCACAAATGATATCACAAAATACTTATAAACAATACAATGCAAATACTCGGTCATGGAAGAGACTCTCGTGGCTCTTTTTCTGTGTTTACTTGTCTGTGAAGATTCTTAAGTTTGATATCTGGCTCAGCCCATTGTTGCTTAAACGTGTAGGTTATGAGGATTTAGAAGACACAGCAAGGTACTAGATACTATAATCTGACAAAGGGGTGAAGACCAATCCCCCACTCCACAGAGAAGAATAATTTCTAAGTGTCAGTTTGTCAAATAACTCTATGTACATAAGGATCCGAAATTATCACTGTATAGAAATGGCAAGAACAAAATCTGTCCAGAATGTGTTTTCTCCCTTGTCTGCTTAAAGAAGTAAATGAAATAATGTGTACAGCAGTTGCTTTGGGAAATGTTGAGTTCAAAACATCTATTGTGATTATTGTTGTATGTACCTTAGCACATGACCTGATACATCATAGATAATATTGGTTGAATAAATGAGTAACAACAATTTCAACTTCCTTGAATAATTCATGGTCAATATTATAGGAAAAAAATGACTGAACTCTGAGAGAATACAGCAAAACCCTAAAGGCTATGTTGTATATGATTTGCCCTTCTACAGAGTAACTATTCTCCCAAGTTTCCATAGGACTTGAATACATTTCATAATTTTTCACCTCCTCAGTGGTGTTGAGAAGTAGATGTTTCAAATAATAGGAAAGGGTAAATTAGAGAAAATTAATAAATTAACCATGCATCACTTTTCATACTCTAAAGGCACACTGATCTTTCAAATTCCTAAGGAAAGATTTTATAATCTTTGTGAGTACAGTTCAGCCTCTGCTTAAGCCTCGACAGTGGCCCTGTATTCTATAAAGGACTTTCTGGGAGATATAAAATACTTGAACACTTCATGTCATACTCCTCTTTGTCACGACCTGATACATCATAGATAATACTGGTTGAATAAATGAGTATGAGTCATAAATCATAAATAAATAAATGAGTCATAAATCCAATGACTCCATTTCCTTTCAAATATGGATTGGAATCTCCTTTCAGGTATACAATCTGTGTTTCTGTGACATGCCTAGTTTTCAGACTCTGGATCCAAATCTCTTTTCAATATATTTGTTTTTACTTTCTTCCAGGTATGTTTATTTTTAAATTTTTTGGTACTGAGGATTGAACCTGGGATGCTTTAGCACTGAGCTAAATCCCCATACATCCCTAGCCCTTTTTATTTTTTATTTCAAGACAAGGGTCTATTTAAATTGCCAATTCTCCTGCCTCAGGCTCTCAAATTGCTAGGATTACAGGCATGCACCACTACACTGGGCTTGACTTTCTTTTTTAAAGTGTATACTCGAATCATTTTTCATTTATATATTTCATATATATTATCAGCCTTTGAAGGTGGTTTACTTATGGGCACAAAGGCTTTCCTCTGTGGATCTTGAAATAATTTCTGGAAAGGTGTACACAGGGCAATCTTAACTTGCACAGAAGTGACCTGTGAAAACTGAAGTATGGCTGGTAGTCACTCCTTTTATTTCTCCTGTAGGCAGAGCTACAGTGAACAGAAAAGGCCACACTTAAAATAATTCTGTGTGAGGCCTTTTGCCACTAAAATTAAGTACTTTGCACAATAAGCTACATATCAGGAATAGGAAAAGTGGCACATATCCTGCCATCCTGTATCCCACCTGTCCAGGGGTGAACAACTGGTCACATTGTTTTTCCTGTGAGCCTAGATGGAGCTTAAGAGACCTTTAATGATGAAGTGGATCCAC